CAAGGTTCCCATTTCATGAAGGCTGCGCTTGTCGTGGCCACTAGCTTATCTTGAAGTCCTCCTTCGTCAGAGATGCGGTTCCTAAGTACTTCAATGTATTCGCCCTTTTGATTGGCTCGTATGGTTTCTGAAGCTTGACCTCTCACGTGTGCTCTCTTTTTTGGTTGAGCTTCAAGCCGTACGAACCTGATTGGTCCTTCATTCTCTACCCCTCTTCTTCAAGTTCATTTCTGATATCTGGCGTCAACACCACATCTGCATACAGAAGAACCCATGGAAGCTGTTTTTGAGACCTTCCGTCGCTGCGCCCATGACTGTACTGAAGAGTCCTTGTCGCAATCTTCGCATGACTCGTGGCTCCGTGATAAATTAGTTTTATCCCTTGAATGTTTATTTCTAGAGCCATGTGCTTTCGCAGTACCCATCATATGTTCATGCGGTACCTTGTCGAAAGCATTCTCCATATTCAGAAAAGCTGCTGTGGCTCTCTTTGGTTTTTTCCACATCTCCATCACTATCAGTAGTATGGATGGCCTTAGCAGGACAAGCACCTTTTACAAATCCGCACTGAATGGACAACTCTATGACTGCATGAGATAGATTCTATGGAGGTGAAGATACGAAAAAGAAGACTTTTCAATTCGACTGTTGTAAGGATCAAAAGATTGTCCACCGACACCCGTAATCGATCCTCGCGTTGCCATTCGCACTCTGTCGGCGGCGCTACCGCAATTTCTGCGCTGCGAAATCCATCTTATTTAAGATGCTGACTATCCGAAAGTATTTCGGAACTAAGTATTAGGCTTATAAAGAATAGTGTTCTAAAGTTTTTATGTAGATAACACCCCTTCCTTTGAATATTGAATTGAAATTATTATTAATATTATATCGTGAATATCTATCGCAGCATATCAACTTGTGCCTGCATTAATGCATTATTTATAACCTTTGTCACCCCAACATGTTTGGAATTTAAAAGTGTTCCAGAATATGTGTTTACTTAGAGGTTTCTGTTACTTACAGCTTGCATTCCAGACATTCCATAGGCAGCTATATGGAAACATGATTCGCAGCCACGTAATGCTTCACAGACTTTATCTTCGTCCAGAACTGAACCCTAGATCCACAAAAACACAATTTTGTTGATCTTACTAAAGCAAAAACTCGCACCTGAACAATAGTTGTTAGTTTATGATTAAGTTTCATATTCGTATGTTCTGAGAAATTGACGTCAAGTAAAACCGTATGAACACCACTTGATTGGAGACGTGCAGCCAGCTCACATCCTAAAAATCCCCCACCACCTACGATGCATACTCGCATATCTGAAATGAAACGATTGGGAATTGGAGTAGGCCTAGGGATGGTAAGATAACGTAGCAACAAGTGAGAATAACTACTTCATAGAATGCTCTTTTTATGCAGATTGAAACAGGTTTTGTTTATCAAGTAACCTATCATGGTAAGAGATGGATGAAGTTCCAATCGAGTAGCGGAGGATTTACAAAACAGAGTGAGTAAGAATTAACGACAACATTACATCATATTACTTTCTCTTTACAAACAATATAGCAGATAGCAATATAGCAATATAGCAGCGTCCATTCCATGCAAACAGATACAATGCATGTTTTGATTGAGGATATGGTGCAAAAGCTAGCTTTTTGCTGTTTAAGATAATTTGTTCAACAGATTTTGGCTTTAAAATCAAACAAGATGCCTGATTAGGCGGTCACAAATGATAAGGAAGGGCACCAGTGAGAACAGCTTTTTAGATATGATTGTTTGGAAAAAAGTGCTTTTAAGTAAATCAGTAGGACAAGATCTACTAAACTTTGTATCCCCAATGTATGCACTAACCCCAATCATCTCGACGTGGTCAACACGCCAATAGTCTTTATACAGCGTTAAGAAAGTTAAGAATAGATGTACCCATTGCTCGGAAGCTACATCTTTAAACTATATGATGATGCATAAACTTAGTTATGTTCTGCAGTTTCAAATGTTATGAACATTTTCTGTGCGAGTTTTATGTACGTCTTTAATAAGAAATGCCCTTGTATCTG